CAATTTTATCAAGAATCTACCTCTTTCCTTTCTTCTACAACTGGTAAACTTATTCTGGAGTTCATATCCTTCACTATAGAGGCCAGACTATATCTGTTATGGCCCTTTTAATTCTTTCAAGGGGCATACATGATGTGAGGCCATTTAATGTGCTCTACATATACTAGTTTATGTATCAATCAGGCAATTTTTTTTTTTTTGTCGGTTGTAGGGCTTGAACTCTGGGCCTGGGCGATGTTCCTAAGCTCTTCAGCTCATGGCTAGTGCTTTACCACTTAAGCCATAGGGCCACTTCTGGTTTTCTTTTTTCTTTTTTTTAAATTGGAAATAAAAGTCTCATGGACTTTCTTGCCCAGGCTGGCTTTGACTGTGATCATCAGATCTCAGCCTCCTGAGTAGTTAGGATTATAGGTGTGAGCCACTGGCACCCAGCTCAATTAGCCAATATTTTGCAATAATGTATGACCAGAGAGGGATAGGAAAGAATGATGAAAGTGGTAATATGGACCAAGATGTAGTATGTTTATAAACGGATTGGTTGAATGGTAACCCCTTGGTACAACCAAAAATAATAAAAATGTATTTTAAAAAGCAGTAGAAGCAGCACTTTAGGAGATGCTTCTGGAACTTTTCAACAGTGCCTAAGAACTTTATGTTACTTTCAGATTTTTACAATGAAATGTAGCTTATTTTAGTAGTAACATTATGTGAGTTCATTCTGCTTGGTTGTGAGGTTTCACATTAACCTTGGGCAGCATGCATTAAACATTTGTGCTAGGAGAATTTATGTCACCTGGAACATTAACATGCAAGTTAAATAGACCAAAAAAAAAAAAAGCAGCAGAACAGACCAGTTCTCTAAGCAGTGTGTCTCCCTTTACTGAAAAGATGTAAGCACATTTGTCTTTAATTTTCAAAGTGTGGAACAAGACTGAGGACAGAGTCTATACCTAACAAGTTTGTTTTGCATGAATTATAAAATGGAAGCATAACACAAATGAAATTTTATTAACTCTTACTGGTACTGAATCATCCCAAAAGGTAATGATTTAAAACAATGATTCATTATCTTCCAAAATTCTTTGGATTGGCTGAACACTATGGACTGGGGACACTCTGGTTGGCCTCACATTTCTGGGACAACAGTCCCATGGTTGGGATAGGTAAGTGTCTCACTATTTCTCTCTCTCTCTCTCTCATTTTCCAGGATGAATAGCCAGAACTTTTCCACAGAGCCTCAGCATTCCAAGAGAAAGAGAGTGGAAGTTGCAATGCCTCTAGAGATTGGTTAGGCTTCAATCACTTTTAGGCTATTCTATTGGCTAAAAAACCAGCTCAGCTCTAATGAAGTTGTGAAGAGTCTGTGGCTTTCTTTTTTAAATGAGCACAAATGACCAACTTAGCAAAATATTCTGTTAGCTAATTCTGGTTATGAGAGGAAGATTGGTCAAGTTGACTTCCCAATGTTGCTTGTGACCCTGAAAGTCTATGCTTCTAAGCTGAGTCTTAGAATATTTTCACATAATAATTACTAACTGTTGTGGTTTGGAAAGTAATCTTCTCTCTCTGGTAAGGTCTTGTCAAGCAGAATTCATATAACGATTATTTTCAAGCAATTATTAAAATCTAGAATTTGTACTCTTCTTGTAACCACTTCAAATACCCGCCAACATTTTGTTAGAGCCGGTGACTAGTGGCTTATTCCTGTAATCATTGCTGAGATCTGAGGATCATAGTTTGAAGTCAGCTGGGGAGACTCTTGCTTAGATTAACCAACAAAAAGACAGAAATAAAACTATGGATCAAATGGTAGATTGCTAGCCTTGAGCAAAAAAAGTTCAGGGTTAACATTCAGACCCTGAGTTAAAGTTCTAGGACCACCTCCCCCACCCCCACCCCCCAAAAAAGAGAAAATTGTCCAAGAGAGAATTTCATTTAGACACATTGTAACTAGCTCTATTTTTAATTCCAGTATAGTAATAGCAGCAACATTCTCCTTTCTTTATACTTTGTTGCTCATTCTATGGATACTAGGTAAACCCTTCCTTATTCACCCTCCACATACTTAATTTTCAAGAACTCTCCAAGATTGAGATAAAGTTTTTATTTTTGTTCTTCATCATAGAAGAATGTTTATATTATGGATTCTATACTTACTGCTATTCACTATCAAAGTTGCAGATCTACAAATTTCTTTTAATCATTTATGAAACTTTTATAAAGCATTTCTTTGAGGCTATTTTAGTAGTAGCATGTTCGGAGATATGAGTGTAGAAACATCATATAAGTAACATATAATAAATGAAAATCCAGTGAAATTTTTCACAAGGAAATTTTAAAACAATGGTAGTATGAGAAAACTTGCACTGCTCACTTAATAGAAAATGTTCATAGTATAAAATTGTTAGCATAATTTTTATGCATGTATTCAATTAGTTGAAATCCAAACACTTTTTTTTTGTAATTCGTGACACATATTTGACAAAGACTTCAAATAGGACTTTAGTTATCACTGTTGAAATGCTTTTTTAAATTTAAATTTGATATTAACCTCCTGCCCTTAAATTCTACATCTTCCCAATTTCTCCCAAAAGATCAAACAAACAAACTCAAAAGAACTCACAGCCCTTTGGTAGAAAGCTAGTTCTCAGCTGTGGAATTCATAGGCTAGCTCTTGGATAGATTGCTCATTAACTTGATAAACCAACATTGCCAGGAAACCCCATTTTACTTTTACTTGTCTTTAAAAAAAGTTAATAAACTATTCCTTAGCTTAATATGCACAGTTTTAACTAGATGCAAACAACATTGTGAAAAGCAACTTTCTTAAGCTTTAGGTTTATAGAAAAGATGAAGAAAGTACTCATTACCTTACTCATGAAACGGTCACCCCTGTGCACAGTACTTTCACAATAAAATAAAATTTTTTTAAAGACAGAAAAAAAAAAGATGAAGTTCCCATACACTATCACCCCTAACTTCCAATGGTTCCCTTCTACTAATACTTTGTAATGATGTGGTCCAGCTATTATAACTGGTAAGGCAGTAATAATGACAATGATAATTTTTGCAATGCTAAGGATTAAATCCAGTATCCTTCTAGACAAGTACTTTTATACTCCAGTCCCAATACAGGTAGTTATTATTAACTATCTGTTCAAGCTCCCTTAGTTTACATTAGGGTTCACTCTGTTGTATGGGTTCTGACAAATGCCTATTCGATATCCACCATTAGAATACAATGCAGGATCGCTTCACTGCCCTAAAATCTCTGAATTCTACCTATTCATCCTTCTCCCCCAACCTCTTTCTTTTTAAATACTCTCCTCAACTTTTTCTTTTGTCTGCCTGGAGCTTGAACTCAGGGCCTGGGCACCATACTTGAGCCTCTCTGTGCTCAAGGCTAGCACTCTACCACTTGAGCCACAGCACCACTCCAGGTTTTGTTTATGTAGTACTGAGGAATTGAACCTAGGGCTTCATGCATGCTAGGCAAGCATTTTATCGCTAAGCCACATTCCCAGCCCACTCTTTCTCTTTTAATTAAGAGTAGAGTAACATTAATTAGCTGAAACTAAGGATTTGCTTAAATAACCAATGATTCCCTGTGGCAATCACAGTTTCTTAATCATTATTGTCTAACAGAAATATAAAGTGAACCATGTGTGCATTTAAATTTTTCTAGGCTTCTTTAAAAAAGACCCAAGCTAGCTCAATTAACGGCATGTATTCCAATGTATCCAAAGTAATATCATCTTCACCATATAGCCAATATGAAGATTGAGGCTTTTGTTAGGAATTCTGGAAATCCAGGGTGCATTTTACACTTAGAGCACATCTCAGTTCAAGAATTTTGACTGTTCAGTAGCCATAAATGCCCTATCACTCATAGAGAGCACAGGTGTAGACTGAGCAATCTGAATGCAGGTCATCTTCCTTTTTCCAGGCCTTCCTTTTGGGCGTGCAGCCAATGCCTTTTTTGAAAAGTGTATTATAAAAAGATAAACCTCTCTCGTTGCTAATTCCTAAATGCTCTGCAACCATTTTCTGTAAACTCTTCAGCCCTGCAAAAAGTTTATTCCTGCCTAGTAAACCAGAGAGTGAGTATTGGGGCTTTCTGACTCCCAGAAAGCCTGAATCATCTGAAATGTTGACTCATGAGCCCAAGGTGATTGAAATGAAATGTGAACCAATTTTGCCTTCCAAGGTCTTTCCATTTCCACTTTACTCTCTCTTCTTCCTCCGTCTTTTTTTTTTTTGGTGACTCATTCTCTTAGCATGTTTGAGTTGCAGCAGGCAGAGCCCCAAAACCTCTTTTGGAAGAGCAGATCCAAATGTCTGGCCCCAGATCCACAGATCATCTAGCCTAGCTGTTTTGTTGTTTGGTTTCTATCTCATTCAGAGCCTGCAGTTTAAACTGGGAGTGAGCCTATAATTGTCAAAAAAATAAAAAAGTTGTGTTTTTTTTTTAATGTGGTTTGGGAAGTTTGAACAAGCTAGAATCCTTCACTACATTAAAAAAAAGTTCCTTAGGACCAATTTCACAGCCTAGTTAATGCTTCCACACTGGTTTTTTCCTTTCCGGGGAGGAAAGTTTCCACCCCCAGGTCCCCAGGATAACGCCCTTCCGGTGGCTTGCTAACCCCAACCCTCCAGCCGGGAGCCCGCCCCCTTTTGCAGTTCTCTTGCTACAGATTGACATCCAGCCGCCGCCAAGGCAAGACCCTGTCCCAACCCAACCCAACCCATCCCATCCCGTATCTACTCAAGGCGGGAGGGTGGAGTCCCTCATCCCCCCCCCAAGACCCGCCTACCTGGCCTTATCAACCAGTAAGAGAGAAGTAAGCTAATCACCACCCACCCCCCATCTTCTTCCCTTTTCACTGGATAGGCGAGCTGCTCATCTTCTCCACCCAGGAGTCCATTGGTCCTTCCTCTCCCGCGCCAGGCCCTTCCCTTTCTGCCAAGGGAGGGCGAGTCACGCCAAACTGGGCGGAGAGTCTGCTGGCCTGTCTTCTTCGCTCGTCTGGGCGGCGGCGGCGGCAACTGGGGACGGGGCGGGTGGCGCATCGCGGGCGCGGAGGCAGGAGGAGCAGCCTCATTGTTCCGGGAGCCGTCGCCACTGCAGGTCCTTCTCTTGGTCGGCCCGGCCCCTCCGTCCTCCCCAACCCCCACAACCGCCCGCAGCTCCGAGGAGCAGCGGCCCCGCGGCAGCAGCAGCTGCAGCATCCTCTCCGCCCGCCAGCCATGGAAGACCTGGACCAGTCGCCCCTGGTCTCCTCGTCCTCCGCGGACAGCCCGCCCCGGCCGCAGCCCGCGTTCAAGTACCAGTTCGTGAGGGAGCCCGAGGACGAGGAGGAGGACGAGGAGGACGAGGAGGACGAGGACGAGGACCTGGAGGAGCTGGAGGTGCTGGAGAGGAAGCCCGCCGCCGGGCTGTCCGCGGCGCCGGTGCCCCCCGCCGCCGCCGCCGCC